CGAAAAACCGCCCTTGTGAAAAATAATATGTCATCTATCTTCAATGCAATAAAACAGATAACTAAATAGCACATTTTGTAGAGAATTGAACGCTCTACAAAACTGAATGGTTAGAAAGTGTTTCTCAGCTGTTACATTTTATACAACTATAAAGTAATTTTTGATTGTTTAGAATGCGATTGACGCCAGTATCTGTGCAAGTATTTTGTGCAATTGTAGGCTGCTTGTTTTTGTTTATATTTTGTCTTTCGGCTTATCGACGAACCATCTCTTATCCAACATCATTTCCAAAAAAATTATTCGCTTATCCTTCACATAAGGTTCCTTTAAATTGTACAACGTATGGTGAAAAATGGATAATCATTACTACGATCTTTTATCCTACTGATGCAGTTCGCAAATTTCTTTCGTTATCTAGCGATTGGAAACTAATGGTGATCGGTGATCGAAAAACACCAAAAGATTGGGTGTCGAATATTACTCAGACACTCCGCTCTAAACTCATTTTTCTATCCATCGATGATCAATTAAAACTTGACTATCGCATTATCGAATTTCTGCCAGAAGGAGCATACACGAGAAAAAATATAGGATATTTGGCGGCTATTCAGTGTGGCGCAAAAATTATTTACGAGTCTGATGACGATAATCTTCTCGAGGCGGACGATATCATGGTTCTACCTAAGCAGAGTACAGCATTAGATGTGCCCTGGTACACATTTCATCAGATAAGATCGCCCTTCATCAACATTTACGGCTCCTTTGGTCATCCTCGAATATGGCCGCGAGGCTTTCCTATAGACGAATTAAAAAACGTCACAGAAGATGGATGGAGTTCACTACGTCAGAATGAAAATCATGAGCCTGTGAATGCTTATATTCAACAGTACTTAGCTGATCTCGATCCTGATGTCGATGCTATATATCGACTAGCACATCCGATGACTCTCGGTCATATTCGATTTAATCGAGATCAAAAACCCGTAGCTGTCGAACCGTTCACATTTTCGCCGTATAATACTCAAAATACTGTAACTCACTACGAAGCGTTTTGGGGGCTTTATCTTCCAGTAACTACGACATTCCGCGTCTGTGACATCTGGAGAGGATTCTGGGTTCAGCGACTACTCTGGGACATTGGAGGAAGCCTTGTGTTTGGCACTAGTACTGTTTCACAAACGCGAAACGCTCATAATTATATAAAAGACATGGATGACGAACAACAAATGTATCATGAAAGCGGTAAATTCGCTCGATTTCTGACTCAGTGGTCTTCTTCTGCTCAGTCACTTTTTGAACGGATATTAGAGTTAGCAGATGATATTGTTCAAGCTGGATACTGGAAGTCTAATGAAGTAGAAATAATGAGTGCATGGTTAGAAGATCTAGTCCGTGTGAACTACAAACCTCCCGCTATTAGTCATAACAAAGCCAAAACTTTCAATACTGAAATTAGAACAGCAGTTTGTGTAACTGGGGTAGTTGAGTGCTTTAACAATCCTTGGAATTTAACTGGAGTCGTAGAATCGATAAGTTCAAATGATAGCAAAATGGATGTTTTCTTATATTTGTCAACCAATATGACTAATAAGGAAAAATTAAGACACGTTATGCAGCATAATTCAACCGTAAAAGTCTTTTATGAAGAACGATATCTAGATATTGCATATTCTACTTCATGCAAGCATGTTTCCCGTATATCTGAAAGGATAGTTCAAAGTTACTTTCAACAATTATGGAGTTTAGCAAAATGTTATGCAATGGTAAAGGATTACGAGAAAAAGATGAATCTGAAATATGAAATATTGATTCGAGCTGCAGCAGGTGGAGTTTTAACAAAATTAAAGCAGCCGTTTAATATCAGTAACAGGATAGTCTTGCCAACTGATATGCACTTAAAAGGTGTAAATGATCGGTTTGCCATCGGACCTATGAACCTGATGGCGCATTATATGCAAAGATGGAATACATTGCCATCGTGTCATCCGAAAAGTCTTGACTCTCAGGATTATTTAGAACACATATTAAGTTTGTACACAAATGTAATACTGGATAAAGATCTTGAATATAAGATAGTATGCGAATAAAAGTCAACACTTCAGTTAAAAATTGCATTCAGGGAAAAAAGTTCTATATATACGTCGTTCGTAAAACTTTGAGCAGAATTATTATCGAAATTTTAAAAGAAGGCTATCCGGCAGAATGCTTATAACTTTTTAACGAAGATAGCTAGCGACCTGCGGTTTTCAGCATTTAAAAGAGAAGATCGGGGAACGAAAATGTGTAGAAAATTTGATTGGTCCCGCAATCGACCAATCAGGTGAGTGCTTGGTAGACATTTTGAAATCGATATTCTGACGACATTTCCAATTTGC